AGAAAAAAATACATGTGTTTTTTCTGATCCGTACTGAAAAAGTCTTTTCCGCTGCCTGTGGCAGGATAAAGGCGCCATATCGCCAGTGCAGCGTATCTGGGGAAGGATGGCCGGGCAGTGTGGGCACCCACCAGCACGTCAGTCACTGTACGGAGCACTTGGGACTAATGCAGCACAAGGCCAGGGGAATACTGGAAGCCTGGTTGAAAAAATCACATGTCCACACTTGCAGCATTATGTTGCCACAAAAATAGAGTTTAGAAAGGAAAAACAAGTTCCCTTACCTTTCTGGAGCCTGTGTGATGGTGTGCCAGCTGTTGATCCTCCTTCGCCACCTCACCTGACCTTGCCGCGCAGTCAGGAGGTCTTAATCCACCTTCTTGTTCAGATCTTCCCTCCGGGTCGGCTTTTTTGACTGCCTGCCCACTGCTAATATCCATCCTGACTCTCTTCCACTGTATCGAATTAAAAAGAACTGAGAGGGTGGTAAAAGAAGGGGTAAGATAGATACACTGAGCAAAATGGCTTGGGCAATCTGTTTGCGCTCCCCCTGCCCGTGGCCGCTGACCCTCCCTGTCTCTCGTAGTAGGGCCTGTTGCTACGGGCTGATGCCTCTAGCGCAACGTAAGCTTCTTGAGCAAGGGATTTGTCACCTCTGTGCCTGCAAAGCACCCTGCCAGGCATGGGAAGAACGACGCAGCGCCAGTCCCACCGACCTCAGTGGAGTTTAGATCCAGTCAGACCCTGTACAAAAGGTGAGCAACGATTTTTTACCGTCAGTGTGAGGGAAGGAGAGAGCACAAATCTGTAATGAGCGGCTTGCGAGCAGAGTAAAATGTTCTGTGACATAAACAGTGGGAGAAAAAAAGGAAGAAATGTGCAACGTTGATAGTGTTTCCAAGTTTCACACATCTTTATTAATGAATTTCGAGATCAAGACAATAATTTTGTTATAATTTGCTTGCTGACACTTGAAACTGCCAGGTCCACCAAATAATGTAGTTTCTTTTGTTATTACAATCGTTTATTTCGTAATGTTCAGTCAGGTCTAGTTCGGTGCATTTTCTAAAGTAATGCATAAACTTGTTACAGAATGTGAAAAGCCAGCTGGCAAACTCCTTGTTCAAAATACAGATTTCAGGTTTGCCATGAATCTCTCTTCTTTGATATGTATGAAAACCAGGCCAAACATATTTTCAATACATTTTCATGGTGTTTTCCATTTAATCAAACTAAAATAATGCATTTATAGATGGTTTGGGGCTGTCTGGATTTGGAGATAGGTTTGATTCTTTAATGCAGAAACAGAACATGACATCACACCATCCTGGAATGCAGTATGCTGTATTTCTTAACAATGTCTTTCCCTTTTTTAAGATAAAGCAGAATAAATTACCCTGAAATGATGGAATTCACATTCCTTTATATGCACTGATTGATTTAAATTGCATTTTAAAGCTTCTCCTTAAAGCTAAGAGGTAGGAATAGCTGATGTGGAGGAAGCACATTAGTAAACATCTCAACCGCTGAGCTACTAGGATCTTTAGCTCATGCTCTTTATCACTGCTGATGTATACTAGCTACTTCAATGTATATACATCACTGAACACACAGTTATTCAAGGTAATATGATGTAAAATGCTTAGACTGGTGAGAATATTTTCATATGAGTGCTGAGTAAATAATGAAATCATAGAAATGGATCCATATGTAGAAAAAGTTATAGTGCATTCACAAACTCATGGTCCTGAAAAGAAGGTGTGTAGTTTTTGGCTGGAATAGGGTTAATTTTCTTCGTAGTAGCTGGTATGGGGCTATGTTTTGGATTTGTGCTGAAAACACCAGTTGATAACATAGCGATGTTTTCCTTATTGCTGAGGAGTGCTTACACACACCAAGGCCTTTTCTCCCCCTTCCACCGCTCTGCCAGCAATCAGGCTGGGGGTGCACAAGAAGCTGGGAGGGGACATAGCCAGGACAGCTGACCCCAGGGATGCCCCAGACCCTAAGATGTTGTTCTCAGCAATAAAAGCTGAGGGAAAAGGAGGACGGAGGGGGGACACCTGAAGTGACAGCGTTTGTCTTCCCAAGTAACCGTTAGGCGTGACAGAGTCCTGGTTTCCTGGAGATGGCTGAACACCTGCCTGCTGATGGGACATAGTGAATGAATTCCTTGTTCTGCTTTGCTTGCATGCGCGGCTTTTGCTCTACCTATTAAACCGTCTTTATGTCAGCCCACAAGTTTTCTCACTTTTACCCTTCTGATTCTCTCCCCCATCCCAGCCAGGGGGAGTGAGCAAGGGACTGTCTGGTGCTTAGCTGCCGGCTTGGGTTAAACCACAACAGAAGGAAATGATTGTTTCCCGTTTGCTGGAAAATAAACGAGCTGGGACTGATGTAAATGTGTATCCCTCAGTAACTGGTCTGTGTCATTTATTGGATCCCATTGTTTGAAAAAATAGACATTTAAAGCTTGTTTTGCTACAGAACACATTTAAATAGTTTTGACTTCGAGTCACTTCACATTTCTGTAACACTTGAGAGGTTGACCATCTTCCTCCTTGTTTCCTTTAAAGGAAATAGAAGTATTTTATTTGGCCTTACTGATACTTACTCCAGATTTAGATCTTCTTGCTGTTCCTCAAATGAATCAACAGACGTGGTTTCTCTTGCTAAAACACATATGAAAATTCTTTTAATTTTTTATGTGTATAGTTTCAAATGGATAATTTGTGACTCATATATTTTTCTTTTCATATTGTTTGTTTGTCTGTTAGCTTCACTACATCTTGCTGCATATCCTGGCTCTTATCTTTGACCTTCTCTGTCTCTTGACCCCAGCCCTCTTGAGTCCTGACTTCAAGTGCTTAAGTTTGATTTTCCTTGAGCACCTTTCACGTGAACTTCAGCCTGTAAATAGCTAACGGTCTGTAACATCTTACTAAATGGAGACCTTTTTATGACCTGTTTCTCACACTGCTTGTAAACTTATATACCACAGGCAACCCTGTCTTGAAGAGTGGGTAACCTAAAGTCCCTTTCTTTCTTTCGCTTTAACATTGATGGTTTCTCCTGCCAAAACTGCCAAAACTTAAAGCGCAATGTATCAGCAGTCCTCGCTCCAGCCAAAGAAGGCTAGACGCAGCTTGCCGTGGAGCCTGTCAACTCCGTGTGTCAGCCTGAGGGAATCAAATGAGAGCAGTGAAACATGTTTTCTACCTCCAGAGTCTGTAGCCTCTGGCACCTACTGGTACAGAAGCAAAGCAGTAGCACAGCTGGGCTGGCTCAAGTCCAATGGTTTTACTCTTAATAGCAAGTGTTTCTCATGCAAACTTGTTCCAGCTTATTCTACTACTCATTTAGAAACTGCAGTGTTGAAACTGCTTTAATTTTAGTGCTCATTTCAATCCCTCTTTCAAGTTACAGAGCTGGTCCAGCAGTCATTAAAGGGCAGCATTTTATTGCTTACAGGGATCTGAATTCAAAGATATCCTGGCTTCATGCCTCAGTAATGGTTCTTGAGCTTGGCAAAAGCATTAGCTGTTATCATCTTAAACTGGTCTGTCCGTCTGATACAATTTCATTCTGAATTGCAGAGAAGCCTATGTAGTTCATCTTTCTAACCATAAAAGAGGTCATAAAATGAAGATGAAATGTGGACGGACAGGTCCAACTCTCAGCCCACCATTCACTGTTTTTGTGCGTTGTGTGCTATCTCTTAGGGCAAAATACTGTCAGAAGTGACTGCTGCCTTTGAGAACTTCATCGTTTACCCACCCAAGGCCAGACACATACTACGGAGCTTTCCATAACCAAGGGCTGCCAGCCTCCATGGCAACCCAGGGTGGTCTTGAAACTCCAAAGTGTCTCAGACCACTTTGAAAACAGCAACCTTGGTCTTTCTGTCATCCCTCCCTCTCTAAAGTGAGAATAATAAGAGATTCCTAACCATAGTTTGGTGTCTGCTAATCATGAGCTTATTATGATTATAAAAGCACAAGATGTTTTTTGAGAAGTGTAGAATTCAGGTTCAGAAACAGGACAAAGTATCTCATATGTGTGTAGCTGGTGCAAGGCCAACAGTGGCTAACTTCATTTCTTAGAAGAAAAAGGAAAGTAGGAGAGTGTGTGTCATTTTGATCTAATTTTGATCTAATATTTGCCTGGAGAGCACAGTGAAACCACAGCTGCTCATCCTTTAGCAAAGAAGCGTATACCCAACTTCTAGCTATAAGCAACAGTGATCTCTGTTTCTGCAAGAAGCACAGGGCATTAATTTGTGATATTTGCACGACTCTACACGCTCACTCGTTACCAGTCTACATGACTGTTCGTAATGTAGAAATAATCTTTCTGTTTTTAAAGGTGTGTAAAATTTACACACTGCAGTAGAGAAATTGTGCAATGCTGGCATAAATAATGTGTTATGACAACCCCTTAGGGAGTATCTCCTGTTGGCAGGATGTGTGTAATCCTGGGATGGTCTGATGCATTGGTAACTGCACCGTAACAATGGAAACATGAGCTTGGTCTCGGGTATCTCACGGCTCGAGTTGGCAGGCTCAGCTGTGTTGGCAAGGTAGCGCAGCTCAATTCAAAAGGGAAGGCAAAGAGGCTAATAGTCACTGTAGAGGGCCATCTGCTAGACAGCTAAAACTCTGTATGGTGTATTAAGATAAGTTTTTGTAAGAGACATGCTGAACTTTCTGTTAAATGGAATTTTGATCATTTATCATTTCTTACTTTGCCGTCTGTAACAATAATCTGCTATCACACCATTGGTGCTATATACATACATCAATAACAAATCACACTTCTGTGATGCTGACTCTAACAGACACATAGCCATTTAGAAGGAAGGCTTATTAAGGGAGTGAGAATTATCCACATTGTCTGAAGGAGATTCTCCTTTACCTCTTGGAATCCAAATGTGAGCAGCTCTCCCTCTTCCCTTGCACTCCTGGCAGTGTCCTTCAGGAGGTGGACAGACAGAATCTCAACAGCGCTGTACAACAGAGTGAAAATGTTCGAACAAGGTCAGATTTTGTATGTCTAGGTCTCAGAGACAGATTTTTTTTCATCTGGCAACATTGTGGTAAAGGAACATCTAAAAATTGTTCTTGCTCTGGTAGTAATGATCTATCAGTGAAATTTGCCACAGTGTTGTTGTCATCTGTGCAGATATCTGTATCTGTCTTAGCTGTTCTCTATAAAAAAGACAATAAAGCTATAGAGTCATGTTTTGGAAAAAAATGTATGTAAAGCCACTCTGATTTATAGAACAAATATTGAAAGGGAAGTTATTAATAGGTTGAAATACACTGTACCAGTAGCTACAACAGTGTTGAGGGCAGACTGGGAAGGGGACAATATGATCAAAGGCAAAACAACTTTGGCACCCAGCTGCAGGAAAAGCCATTAGTAGCATTTGCATAGATCA